AATATTGTTGTTGTTTACTTATGTTTACACAGAAAAAAACAATTTTCTAAAAACCTATTATTTTTGTAAAACAAAAGTAAAAATCTAGAATATTCTGAGATCTTGGACAGTTTATCATTATTAGTTTCTTGAAAATGAGTTTAATTTCAGCTAGAACCAAGAATCGCATCCGACAATATATTGGTCTGTGCTTGTGATGATTTATAGTTGTCACTTTGAAATATTTTGAAGATTAATTTGAGTTCTACGTGTCAAGTAAGAGACATGTGCGAGATTAATTAATCATGGTTAATATTTAGTCTATGTAATTGTAACACATGATACATCTACACTACATCACTATAACACCACAGTTTGCTAACTTAATCAGACTTATTACAACTTAAACTTGACATTATAAAATGTACTAATTAACTACAAATGAGACAGGAAGTACACTTGACTTATTTTGTCTTATCCATTTATACTAAAATATTGTGTTGTTCATCTGTACGAATATTGAAACTAATCCTTCAAGAATTCCTGTGTAAAATATATTATTTTATGAAATTGTAACGTGTTGGCTTTTTTTCTGTAAAAATTATTAAACTTTGTTAAACTTTAAATTTCTAGGTCACAAACAAAATATTCATTACTTTCTTTATTTACGGTTTGTTTTCTTATTTCTGAAAGATTAAGATTGGTTCTGGATATGATTACAATCATTTTAAACATAGAACAGTTGAAGCAGATATTTTAGCTTGTTTATTGTGGTTTCTCTTGCCTGTATTTACAACTAAACCACAATAATGATATATCTGTTAGAAGTACGGCAGATTGTCGTCAACCGGTTTCTGCGCTTGCTGATCTCAGAAAAAAGATCACAAAATTAATAACTTTTATAAACAATTTCAGAATGTTACGTGATAATAATAATAAATTGAGGACCGTTGTGTGAAGTTGCTTTCGAAGAATTCAGAAATTATAAGTTCTGTGACTGTTTACAAACTTATTAAAAGTCTTATAATAATAAGTTGAGGACCGTTGTGTGAAGTTGCTTTCGAAGAAATCAGAAATTATAAGTTCTCTGACTGTTTACAAACTCATTAAAAGTCTTGTAATAATAAGTTGAGGACCGTTGTGTGAAGTTGCTTTCGAAGAAATAAGAAATTATAAGTTCTGTGACTGTTTACAAACTCATTAAAAGTCTTGTAATAATAGGTTGACGACCGTTGTGTGAAGTTGCTTTCGAATAAATAAGAAATTATAAGTTCTGTGACTGTTTACAAACTTATTAAAAGTCTTATGTTATGTATAGTTTAGGACAAATAATCAAGAAAGTGATACAGGCACACTTTGAAAGTGCTCACAAAGTTAACTAATTTAAACTTACAAATACACAAAGAAAAATAGAATTACGACTCATCATACTTTTGGGGAATTACGCTTTGGCTGTTATTAATTGTTAGTTTGATCTTGAACCTTGCGAAATTATCCGGTTGTTTTTAATCAGATATTTGGTATTAAACGATTGTATTACATGTTTGCATTTACCCATTCACATACGAAACTATGAAAGCCTTTGAGAAAAGTTTCACAAAATAAATTTTACATACTATACCGCGTGGTATAGCGGTAGAATATTCTTTATTTTAATATTCATAGATTATAAGAACACAGTAATTTTAACAAGTTGCTTTTGCACTGAATAAATCTTGTACACTCTTTTTTTTACTGCGAAACTTTATTATATTCCACATTTGTTTATCCACACTATTTTTCTTTATTCTACTTGCATTGTCTTTTACTTTTTATGAATAATAATAAACTTGTATTTTTTAATGTTTTAGAGAAATAATGTATGCAAGTGGTAAGTAATGATGCTGATTTGTTTGAGTGCAAAGCTGCTTTCTCCGACACGGTAGTTAATCCTAATTTGAGTGTTGGTAACGAAATTCCGTGCCAGTGATCTGTCTATCTGTCAGTATACATACACATATGAAAAATTGACTGAGATATAATTTATTTTACTGCCATGTGTTTTATCGTATTTTAAATGTGAAATATTGATTTATGAATCAGGATTAGCTTACAATGATAAAACTGGCTCAAATGGAATACATGTTAGTTAACCTAGGTTAAAGGTTGGAATCGGAATGCAAAAGTTACCAATATATTTCGGAAGCAAAGGTCACTAAAAATAGGATCAAACTTATTATATCGGATATGAAGTATTCCATTAACGTATTGAAGGTTAAAGACAGAAACGTCACCCATACCTCGTGAACGAATTCTAACAAAGAAATTAACTCAAATTTGACGTTTACGTTTGAAAGTATGATAAGTATGCTTATTAGGAAAGGCACTTGGAAAAAATGTATAGAACTCAGCAGTAACTATAGCCACTTGGAATTGACTCCAATTTATGATTCCTTCTTGTATCCTTATATGTCGAATCACAAATAAAATTAACTAGATGGACAAATATTTGTTTGTAATTAAGCACAAAGCTACAAAATAGGCTATCTGTGCTTTACCTACCATCGTTATCGAAACCCGGTTTCTAGCGTTATAAATCCGTAGACATACCGCTTTGCTACTGGTGGACCTGGACGAATGTGTTGTCGACCTTTGAAATATTTTCGTCTGAATTATTCTTTAGTTCATTTGACCTATTGTAATTTTAAGAGTGTTCTGTTCTGATTTTCTAGCAACGTGACTATATTCCAAATGTTACCTAATGCCATTTCAGATTTTTAATGTATGCCTTTTCCCCGTGTGGTCAAGTTTCTTTGCTAATATTTTTCTTGAGTATTTATAGACCTTGATATTTTTTAACCGAACAAAACTAAATACATCAAAATATCAGGATCATCTTAAAACTTAAGTGTTCGTCATTTAAATTACAACTGACACTCGCTCGTCAATAGCGTTTAAAAACCATTATCAAAGTTCATTGGTTTTTATACTGTATGTCTAATGTGTTTAAGAGCTATCAAAATATTTAATGCAAGCGCTACTATCGTTCTACTTACCAAAATACTCATGTTTCAAGCCTGGTTAATACGATTGCAGTTATCACACACCATGCTACCGGGAAACGCAATGAAGGTGGATTCCAGTACATTGAAGAAAGAAAAAATATCGACAAACGTTAAAATTCTGGAACACAGACATCAAAATTCGGCAGTACTAATCTATCTGCAATAGTAAATCATGCCATAAATATCACACGATAATTTGGGATTATACTAATATAATAGGATAAGAAACAGAAAGATAAAAAAAGACTTTATCTAACCACACTAATAACACGCTCAGTCAGCTTAGAATAGAGGTCAGCAAAACATTCAAATTAGTTAGATGATTCCAATACTAAATGAAGAAATCCAAATTGAGTATATAACACACTAGACTTCCATCAAGAAGACCCAGGATCGAATCTCGGCCGCTAAGAACAAAAATATAGTCCTTTCTAGGACTTCCCTTAAA